ATTGGGAAAGTTGATACTAAATTAAAAATTACATAAGAGTTTGAAATCAGGTGAAGATAATGTCGATGAACATTTATTTTGGAGTAGAATAATTTTAATTTACTACCAATAACTTATATTGAGCTATTTAAAAAAAATTTTGAATTGCTACAAACACAACACGTTAAACTGAACTAACGAGGATTGAAAATATATAGACGTGTAATATTTATTGTCCGCAAAAAAGTTTAAATAAGTGTAGAAAGATTACTTAAAAAAATATTAACACTGGCTAAATGTATTAAGCAAGAAATTCTACAAATTATGATATAAAAATCTTTTGATAATATTTATAAAACACTTGTAAATTTATATATAAAGTTTTAAATAAACTCTAATCAATTCTGTGAGAAATAAAAAAAGAATCAATAACAAAGAATTAAAAAAGAATAAATCTCTAAGCAAAAAAGAAAAAAAACACATTTAAAGCAACTTAAGAAAAAGAAACAAGGAGAATTTTTGTGCATAAGTGAGATTAAAAAGAAGAAACAATATCAAAATATAATACAAGAATGCAAAAAAAAGTATAAATCTTAAAGAATAAAGGAAAAAACAAAAAACCTATTTCAAACAACTTATGAAAAAGAATTAAATTGCAAGTGAGAACAAGAAAAGAAAAATATCAAAAGATTGTATACGAAAGCAAATTGAAATAAACTCCAATGAGAATCTATGTGCATAAATGAAAACAAAAAGAAGAAACAATATCTAAAGATAATTCAATAAATAATAAAATAAAAAGAAATAAATTGATCATAAAACGTTGAAAAAAACCATTAAATAATTATAATTTGCATAAATTCCGGCTGTTCCTTAATTATGGTCATTTCATGTAACTACTGCAGTGAAGCCTGCACCAAAACTGGAGGCTATGTTGTTTGTCTCCTGTGCTCCAAAAAATATCATACTGATTGTGCCAATAAATCCAATCCCAAACTTACAAAATCAATGCTTGAGGACATAAGTAAAAGTAATGGGGGCTTGGTTTTCAGATGTGGGAAATGTTGTAATGATCCCCCTACTAATAACTCGGATATGAAAGAAGTTTTATCGCGATTCACAGCGCTGGAAAATCAAATTCAAAACTTAAAAGAGCAGTTAACAAATGATGTAATTGGCCAGCTTACTGATATAAAAACTGATATAAAAAAATTGTACTATGAAAATGTCCAAGTTTGAAGATGCTACAAACTCCAAAATTGCTAATTTGGAAATGGAAAATAATTTTCTACATAGACAAATTAATCGTGCTGATATAATTATCCGTGGAATTCCAGAAAAAGATGTGTCTAATGAAGAGATGAAATCAATTGTCGTTAAAATTTCCAATAAATACATTGATTCCATAGAACAATATGATATAAATTTTAACGCTTTTATAAATAAAAGGAAAGACGTCTTAGTTAAATTGAAATATGTCCTATTATATTTAGTTATTGTTATAATTATGAATTTAATTTCTCAATATTAAATTACTTTATTAAAAAACCTGAGCTGAAGAACTTATTATTAATAATTTATTGTTATTAATAATGTGCTCTTCAATTTTAATTGCTACCACTACCTTTAATTTGTTTATATATATGTATATTATTTAATGAATTTTTATTAATTAAAATTTTTTTTATTTTCTATTTTTTTAAATTTTTTCTCATCATAACATATATATTTGAAAATAAATTCCAATGTATTAATTTAAATTCTTTTGGGACAATATTTGTTCATAGTTATTTAATAAATTTTGTTTATAAGTTTCATAAACTTGATAATACTAAATTGATTATAATTTTTTTTAATGGATTTGAGTTGTAATATAGGGACAGTAGTAAGTAACAGCAATTATTTTTCCCAACTTGTGTTCAGATAAATTTAAATCAAGGATTATATGTGATGTTCGTGTTGATAGGGATATAGAGGCAGTATTTGTTGAGGTAGTTTTATCGGGGTTGGTTGTTCTTATTGGTGTCATATACTTACCGAATGGCATATTTGGAGCATGTGAGGAAATCTTAGGTGATTTTGCAACTCGATATGAACATTTATATTCATGGGGGACTTCAACGTTAATTTGTTTGGTGGTTGTCCTCGAATTCATTGCTTTTGTGAGACATTGGGTATTTCCGTAGTTCATAACTCTAGACCTACACACTATTGTTATTACAGACAATCGACATCATTGATTGATTATTTTTTTGTTCCAAACATTAATTTAGTCATAGATAAAGGGCAATGTCTTGTTCCAGCTTTATATTCTTGTCATGCTCTAATACATTTATCATACAACATTGAAGTTTCTGAAGTAATTAATAATGTCACTTTTAGAGATTACAAAAATATTAATTTGCCTGATTGTATAAATTATTTTAATAATACAAACTTTAATGATATTTATAGAACCTCTGATTCAGATTACCAAAACTTAGTATTTACTAATAATGTACTTGAGGCTATTGATAGATTTGTTCCTATAAGGCAAATTGAAAATAGAAAGTTGATGCATGGATGAGAAACAAAAATGTGTTGGTTGCTAAAGAGCGCCGCGATTTTGCAAAAAGGGCTTATTTGAAAGACATGTGTGATGAGAATTGGCAAGTTTATTGTCGGTACAGGAATCGACTTAAATCGGTGATTAGGAAAGAAAGAACTAAGGTAATGTGCAATATGTTTGGACACAGTACAAATGAGCAATGTGGAGGCGTCTTAGACAAATAGGGTGAATGTGAAAGAATTTAATAGGTCGTGTTTAATGACACCATTGTATAATACTGAAGATTACGCTTCTTTTTTGAGTAATGCAATTGAGAGAGGTTTTAGCTTCAAGTGTATAAATGAATCGGAGCTATGGAATGCATTTTCGAGCATTAAATCTAAAGCTATAGGATCAGATGGAATATCTATAGTTTTCATAAAGAGTGTGCTCCCAGCTCTATCTTTACATCTATTACATATCATAAATACCATAATTACCACATCGAGGATACCTACTTCATGGAAAGTAGCTCGAGTAATACCTATTCCTAAAGTCCGCAGTCCTAGATTTGTTTCTGACTATCGTCCGATTAGTATTTTACCAGTTTTTTCAAAAATTTTGGAAGTTATTTTAAAAGGGCAGATGTCGGAATACCTCGCTAATAACAATTTTATAAATAGATATCAGTCTGGGTTTAGAGTAGGTTGTAGTACGCCTACTGTCATGTTAAGCGTTACTGATGAAATTCGTGTGAACTATGATAAGGGAAAAATATCTTTCTTACTATTTTTGGATTTTTCCAAAGTATTTGATTCTATCTGTCATGATTTATTGATTAATAAATTATTTCACAAATTTAGATTTTCTACCTCAGCTTGTCGTCTTCTTCGTTCATTTTTGCAAGATCGTCGACAATTTACCTCCAGCTGCAACGTATCTTCCACTTTAATTGAAATGCAGAGGGGAATATCACAGGGATCCATATTGGGACCAATGTTGTTTATGGTAATATTAATGATTTGTTTGATTATATAGATGTAGGTACGGCTCATATATTGCTGACGATGTTCAAATCGTAAGTTCATGTCATCATTACAATCTCGATAGATTCACCCGCTCTTTGAATGAGTGTCTACAACGTATCAGTACATGGTGTTCACGTAAACTTCATTTTATTGAATCCTAATAAGTGTAGATCTATGGTATTTGCAAACCGGCCAATTGATTTACCATTATTATATATTGAGGGTTTAAGAATAGAGTATGTCAATCAATACAGAGCTCTCGGTTTTATATAGATACCAGTTTAAAGTTTGATAGTCACATAGCCTTCGTTACGTACAGTGTGTATCAGACTTTGAGAAAGTTGTATAGTGTTGGAGTATATTTACCCTTTACTGTTCGAAAGAAAATAGCGCATTCACTTCTCATGTCGAAAATTTTGTATGGCTTAGAAATATTTAGCGGTACATCTCATAACAATTTAACTAAACTATGAATTTGTGTTAATCGTATTGTAAGATTTGTATATAATTTGGATAGAACTGGGCCAGTCACTTCATATGTACGCAAGTTCTTAGGCTGTGAATTTGATAATTTCGTTAAAAGGAGATGCCTACAATTTTTTACAAAATGTTTAAAACAAAACACCCCAACATACTTGGTGGAAAAATTTCAGTTTGGGAATTCATCTCGGACACACACCTAATTCAGGCGCATTTTACTACATTATATATGCAGAGGTCTTTTCAAGTCCGTGTTATTAATCTATGGAATAATGTTATTCCATATGAAGAAGAAGTTTACTCATAGTCTACAATGTTTTCCGAAAAATTGTACTTGATAATTTTTAAACAACTTACAAATAATTGCCGTACTAACAATACTGAACCAATGCTTTTCATATGCAAAATTGATTAATATGTTAAATTATTTTTACAGCTACTATAATTTATTTAATTATAATTAAAATTTTTTTGTTATTATGAAAGAGTTCTTCCTAAATTATACCTAATATACTAATTAATATTTTAATTAATATTTATATTATAATGTAAATATTCTTCCATTTAAGAAATTTCTTTAATCATTTGGCCCATAAGGGCTTTGATTATAAATGAATAATAAAATAAATAAAATAAATAAAATAAATAAATAAACCTGAATAAGAAAGCGGAATCCCCTCAAACATTTTTAAACAGTGTTTAAGTACATTTAATGAGATTTTCATTTTTTTTTTAAGTAATAACTGTAACACTTTTACATAGTTTTCACTATATTATCATTGCACTTTGAGAGCATATTGTTTACTATTTTTTTTTGATCTATAAACAAATCTTATCAAAATTTGAACGAGAATTTATTTCGGATAATATTTACGGATTAAAGAAAGAATAGTCATTATTTTTCTCTTCGCGCCTTTAATATTGTTCGAATTACCTTGAGATTTCTAAACCGTTTTGGCCCACTTGGGTTGCCCGTTGAGCTCATCATGTCTGTACTAGACTCATTTATTCGTGCTTCGGATCGCGTAGTAGAGTTCCAAGCATATTTTGAAACGCTTCCTGCAGACATTCACTCAGTACATACATTAGAAGTACAGAAGGATGAGATTGTGCGTCTATGGTCCGACTTTAGGGCTTGTTATGATGACATCTTAAATAAATTTAATGAATTAGAAGAGGAAGTTCAAGTAGAAACACTAAAATCACGATTTTTCTCTACATTCGAAGCTCATGTTAAGGTTTTGTCAAAATCGAATGAGCTTTTAGATATTCTTTGTCAAAGAGCTGGTCCTAGTACTGCACCCAATCCCCCTCCTATCCCTTTAATTGAAGCTTCTCCGAATATATCTTTACCACCTTGTGACACTGAAATATTTCATGGTGACTATCAGTCATGGCCCACCTTCCGTGACATGTTCACGGCCTTATATCGGAACAGCACACGATTATCGCCTGTTGAGAAAATGTGTCACCTTTTAAAGAAAACCCAGGGCGAGGCTCGCGAGCTACTACGAACATGTCCCATAACAAATGACGGATTTGAAATGGCGTGGGCAAACCTTGTAAACAGATACGAAAACAAGCGAATCTTAATAAATGCTCAATTAAAGACTCTTTTTAACATTTCCCCAATCACTAAAGAGACAGGTAGTAACATTCGACGTATTCAACGCACAATCAACGATTGTGTTACAAATTTGTCTCTTTTACAAATCGATACTGCGAACTGGGATATTATATTTGTGTACATTTGTTCCACTTGCCTTCCAGAAGTCACTCTTAGTTTTTGGGAACAATCGTTACCCAATAGTACCGAATTGCCGACTTGGAAGCAAATGGATGCATTTTTGACATCTCGGTTCCAAACACTAGAGTCAGTTGCAGATATTCGCACCACATTCACCAACTCTAATACTTCTCATCCAAATAAGTACCCTAACACAAAAAAATCAGAAAAGAAGAAGCTAAACAGCTACAATAACAAGGTTTCTGTCAATAAGAATGCCAAATGTTCTATATGTTCCGAACCGCACCCCCTTAGACTATGTCCCACTTTTCTCGGAATGTCTGTTGAAGATCGTTATGCAATCGTGAGAAAACAGAAACGATGCACTAACTGCCTTGGGACTTCACATGAAATAAAAGCTTGTAGAAGTCAATATATTTGTTTCTTGTGTAAGGGTAAACACCATTCATTGCTCCACCGCACCGAAAATTCTAAACCCCAAACATCTACTCGAACAGTGGTTAATCCCCCGAATAATAATTGTGTGAATAACACCCCTGAAACTTCAGACTTAAATCTGAATCCATCCACTTCTGCTGCAGCAGCAGCCCAAATTAGACAAGCCTTTTCTACCCAGTTACAGTCCACCTCGAATTCAAGCGTTTTGCTTGGAACTGCCTTGGTCGATATATATTCACACAATCTAAAGTACACCGTCAGAGCCTTAATAGATTCAGCATCTGAGGCAACCTTTATATCACGAAAACTTCAACATAAACTTTCCCTCAAAACTCAACCTTCACAAACGGACATCCATGGCTTAAACGATGCGTTAACGGCAACATCTACGCAGTTATGTCATATTCGCATAGGTTCGCCAATTGATAACGCGTTCGAGATATATGCCAACGCGTTCGTAGTAAAAAAGTTAACTAGCCAACTTCCGTACTATCCATTAGCCGAGCTAAAAGCAAGCGTTTTTTCCGACTTAAAAATGGCTGACACATATCGTAGTAAGAATTCTGAAATCGAATTACTTATTGGCGGAGATGTTTATCCCAAGATTATGCTAACTGGTTTATTGGCTCAACAGACAGTCTTCGGTTGGATTATTACCGGTAAAGTTGCCACACAACACAGTAGTCGTTCTGTTTCATCCTTTTACAATGAGGTAGCGTTGAATAATCAACTCCAGAAATTCTGGGAACTCGAAGAAGTTCCAAAGGAAACGAAATTATCGGACGAAGATCTTCACTGTGAAAACATTTATAAATCTACTACCTACCGTAATGACACCGGACGTTTTGTGGTTTCGTTGCCATTTCGACACGAATATCCTGAGAATATAAACATTGGGTCTTCTCGTAATATCGCTCTTTCGCAATTCCTACGAAACGAAAGTAGATTGATGAAAAATCCCCTCTTAAAAGCTGAATACGATCGCGTTATTACTGAGTATTCCACTCTGCGTCAAATGTCGAATGTTGCCCCTTCTACTAGCCAATGTACTTATTATCTTCCTCATCATGCGGTTATTAAACCTGACAGCACAACCACTAAGTTGCGCGTTGTTTTTAACGCGTCTAGCCCTTCATCCAATGGAAAAAGTCTAAATGATCTCCTCTACCCTGGTCCTACCTTACAGGCAGATTTGACCATACTTGTTTTGCGATGGAGACTATATCGATACGTATTCAATGCCGACATCGAGAAGATGTATCGACAGATTATCGTTAACCCCTCTCATACGCCGTTCCAACGGATAATATTCCGAACATCCCCGAATACAAACCCGCAAGATTTCGAGTTAAACACAGTAACTTTTGGAGTAAACTGTGCCCCATATCTGGCGATCCGCACACTACTCGAGTTGGCTAATGTATGCGAAAAAACGCATCCTATTGCAGCAGATATCCTCCGCAACTTTATGTACGTGGATGATGTATTAGCCGGCTCTCACACACTCTCTTCTGCGCTCAAGGCTAGAGATGAACTTATCGAAGTTCTGCAATCAGCGGGGTTTTCTCTACGCAAATGGACAGCTAACCATGACTATATTCTGAAAAATCTTTCCTCTGATCAGTTGCTAGATACAGAGTTCCTGAAACTATCAGACTCTAGTACCGCGAAAACTCTCGGCTTAAGATGGAATGCAGGACAAGATCACTTCTACTTCAAGCTTCAAACACCCCCTAATCAAAACTCTATAACCAAACGATCAGTTCTGTCTGAGATTGCCAAACTTTTTGACCCCGCCGGTTGGCTGGCTCCCAAAATCATAGTCGCGAAGATGATCATGCAGCAAATCTGGAAAGACGAAACTAATTGGGATGAAGATCTTAAACCGTCTACATTGCTTCAGTGGCAGTCATTTTTAGATGACTACATAAATATAGGACAAGTTAAAGTTCCCCGTTTTGTTGACTTCGATCCATCGTTTTCTATCGAATTACATGGATTTTGTGACGCTTCCGAGAAAGCTTACGCAGCAACGCTGTATATACGGGCCGAAAACGCTGGCTTTGTATCGACTCATCTTCTAGTCGCCAAAACTAAAGTGGCCCCGGTGAAATTTGTTTCCCTACCCCGAAAGGAGCTCTGCGGGGCTGAATTAATGGCCAATATGATCCATTCTATCCAATCTCAGCTCAACCTTCGTGATTATAAACTATTTCTGTGGACAGATTCAACCATAGTCTTGGCTTGGCTACAGAAACCCCCCAACAAATGGAAAACTTTTGTAGAGAATCGAGTTTCTTCCATCATTGAAAAGGTTGGAAGTCAATCATGGTCGCATGTTGACTCCAAAAGTAACCCCGCCGATTTGGCATCCCGGGGAATCACAATATCCCAACTTATACGTAGTGATTTATGGTGGCATGGTCCTTCATGGCTTAGATCTCCTCACTGTGACTGGCCAAAGGGTCCCACGAACTTCTCTACTGAAGAAGAGATTAGGCCTGTTCATGTTCACTTGGTTCAACTGCCAAATAGTGATGTTTTAACGAATTTCTCTGATTTTAGCAAAGCCTTGCGTATTTTCTGTTATATATATCGTTTTTATTACCGGACTTATAGTAAAATGCGTCATAAGTTGGAAACAGGTGACGTTTTTACTCGAGCAGAAGTGCTTAACGCTAAAAATCACTTGATTATTGCTTGCCAGAAACTACACTTTGAGAATGAATATAATGTGTTATCCCAAGGCCTTGAAATACCCAGGAAAAGTAATATCTTGACCCTTAACCCATTTTTAGATCAAAATGGCATCTTGCGAATTAACGGTCGATTGTCTAGTTCCCCTGCTTTAAACTATGATGAGAGATGCCCGATACTCCTACCTTATCATGGGCGATATACTCGACTCTTCCTAGCATACCTGCACAAATATTCAATACACGGCCAGAATGCACTTTTATATAGATTGATGAGATTATATTACTATGTTCCCCGGTTGAAAGTCCTGATCAAAACCATTCTGTCACAATGTCGTACCTGCGTTATTCAAAAGCGCCACAAAAGTCAGCAGATAATGGCCGCCCTACCCCCCGAAAGGACTACTTTGTCTCGTCCATTTACCATCACAGGTGTCGATTTCGCTGGCCCTTTCGATATTAAAACCTATGCTGGACGTGGATGTCGAGTAACAAAAGGATACGTACTAGTTTTCGTCTGTTTTGCAACTAAGGCAATACACCTCGAGGCCACAAGTGAGATATCAACTCAAGCCTTTTTAGCTGCATTTGCACGATTCTTTTCACGGCGGGGATCACCAAATGCTCTATATTCCGACAATGGCGCAGCGTTTGTTGGTGCATCTCACATATTAGACGCTGATCAATCGCAATTCTTGACGCTTGTCCGTCGAAAACTCCTCAACCAACAATGTTTCACTATGTTAGAATGGCACTTTATCCCACCAGGTGCGCCGCATATGGGAGGACTCTGGGAGGCCGGAGTCAAGAGTTTCAAGATTCATCTTAAACGAGTTTCTCACAGCCAGAAGTTTACATTTGAAGAATTTTCGACAATGCTAGCAAGAATAGAATCTTGTTTGAACTCGAGACCACTTGTCCCGTGTAGCGACAACCCCAACGATGTTTGTGCCTTAACCCCCGGTCATTTTCTTGTAGGAAACCCCTTGCTATCACCCCCGGAACCAGATCTTTCGGATCGGTCGTTGAGCTATGTCAATCGGTGGCAAAAATTAAAGATTTTGCATCACCATTTTGCCCTCAGGTGGAAGGAGGAGTACCTAAAAGAGCTCCACAAACGTCTGAAATGGAAATACCCCCAGCGTGATTACGCTATCGGAGACCTCGTAGTTATCCGAAATGAAAATTTACCACCAAATCAATGGCGACTTGGTCGCATAGAAAGTGTCACTCGTGGCACGGACGAACGGGTTAGAGTCGCCGCAATCCGAACCGCCAATGGCATAGTGACTAGGCCTATAGTGAAATTAGTATTATTACCCAACCCCGAACTCCACTAATAACGCCTATTATTTTTATTTACAGCAACCACCATGCCACGTCAACAACGAAGAAGCCTCTCACCACTAGAAGTAAAAAACCGAAGCTCCCTTCGTCATCAAAGACAAGTCTATAGCTGCCGCCTGTGCCATGGGGACCATACCCTCCGAAAATGCCTAAGATTCAAGAGACTAAATGTTGCTGAGAAACTGAAAGTTGTCAAAAAATTGCGTTTCTGCGAAAATTGTCTGGCACATTCCCACTTAATTCATCGCTGTCGTAATACTGAACGATGTCGTCAATGCGGTAAAAGACACCACACATTATTACACCGACATGAACGTTTAAACACCCCAAAGTATTCTACAAAGAGCTCTACTACCCCCTTGTGTACTGGTTTACGTTCTGTGACACTACTTCCAACGGTAGTTGTTAAGCTAAAACTGGGCGAAGAGTGGGGGAATGTCAGGGGTCTATTGAACCCGTGTTCAGAATTCAGCTCATTGGCAGACTTTCTAGTAGAACGCTATAAACTTTCGGTAGAAAAGATTGGTGTCGATCGGTGGTGTAAAATACGATTCAGGCCTCGGTTTGAAGATGGCCCTACCCTTGAAATCACCGCAAAGGTTAGCAATGATCTTCCACGTAAACTACCAAAGGATAAGATAGATGACAGAGTTATAACTTTATACTCCAATCTTCGTCTCGCAGACCCTAAGTTCTTCCGGAATGACGACATCAACATTATTCTAGGAGCGGATGTTTATCCACGCCTCATCAAGGCAAACATTCAACCCGAATCGGTCGGGACCCCGATGGCACAGGACACTGTCTTAGGATGGACAATCATTGGGAAATTTGGCCTATAGATCCCGTTCCAGTTCTATATTTAATTATATATTTGGTTGTGGCAGATAAACTAACTTTTTATGTGGTCCTGTTGTTTCCCTTATAGTTATACATATATTATTCAACCACTTTATATAACTTTTATTGTACTAACACAGTATTGAATGAATTACATTTATTATTTTAAATTATATTATATTTGTTTACTTGCATTATTTCAAGTTTAGTATGCTTAAATATTAGATTAAACCGATGAAATCTGTATTTATACTTATGAATTATTAAAATACTGATTTCCGTCGTCATCAATCCGTGTCTCCTTGTTGCAATATAGCAAGGGGGCCGGAATGTTGATGTGTAAATGCCCATATTTAAATACCCTATAGTGTGTGGAGAGTGAGAACAAAAGTTCGATACTCGACACTTGTTGTTTTGTTTTAATATGCTTATAAGAAATACTGAATTGTAATAACTTTCACTCAACAAGTTTACCCCGAAAAGAAAGGTTCGTACTGAACTAAATAAATTACGTTTATCAACATAATTAACCCCCGATTTTATTATTACCATTTGTTAAAATAAATTCACATTCCCCCCGAACAATGCCAAGCAAATTATTGCAAGTTCGCCAATTTCTATCTATCTATGAAAAATTTGTATTTAATTCATATATGTGGTGCCAAGCGCCCCATTGAAAGTCCGCCCGTTCTTCTCTAAATGTTCACATGAATGTCAAAGTTCTTCATGTAAAATATGAAGATTCTAGCACTAATAGTTTCTCAGATATACGAATTTAATTCATGTGGAGGCTTCATGCTCCCCGGATGAAAGTCCGCCCTTTTTCCTCCAAAATATTCAGATGAATATTAAAATAATTTGTGCAAAATTTGAAGAATCTAGTTCTATTAGTTTCCCAGTTAAACGAAATTTTGTATTTAATTCATATGGGAGGTATCAAGTACCCCATTGGAAGTCCGCCCGTTATACTCTAAATTCAAGTTCTTCAAGTAAAATTTAAAGATTCTAGCTCTAATAGTTTCTCAGATATACGAATTTTTCTATTTTATTCATATGGGGGCTCTATGAAGGTCCGCTCTTTTTTTCTTAAAAATGTTCAGATGAATATTAAAGTTCTTCGTGCAAAGTTTTAAGAATTTAGTTCTATTAGTTTCCCAGATAAACGAATTTTTGTTTTTAATTAATATGGGAGGTGCCGCTCCCCTCATGGGTAGTCCGCCAATTTATTACCCAAAATGTTTACATGGATGTTAAAGTTCTTCGTGCTAAATTTTAAGAATTTAGTTCTATTAGTTTCCCAGATAAACGAATTTTTGTATTTAATTTATATGGGAGGTACCACGCCCCCTAATGCTAGTCCGCTTACTTTTTGTCCTAAATGATCATATTGACACTAAAGTGGCTCCGACAAAATTTGAGGACTCTAAATGTTATATTATCTCAAATATACGGATTTTATATTTTCTTAATGTGGGCGTGACTCATCGCCCACTTGAAATTTCGAAATAAAAAGTAGCCTATTACCTATTCCAGACATGCAGGAATACGCTGTGAAAATTTCAAGAAAATCGGTTCAGCCGTTTAGTAGTCTATAACGTTCAAACATACAAACATCTAAACATACAAACATACATACAAACAAACACACATTCATTTTTATATATATAGATATACTAGCTGTACCCAGTGTGCTTTGCTACACTAAAATCAATATAAATAAAAAATCTTCTTAATAATTTTGAAGATTCTAACTGTAATGTTTTCCAGAGATGCATTTTTTCCGAACGTTAATTAAGATTTTAATGTAATCGATGACAAATTAAAAAAAATCTAATATTTTCCCAGATATATGAAATTTTGTATTTAATTCATATAGGGGGTGCCAAGACCCCATTGAAGGTCCGCCCGTTATTCTCTAAATGTTCACATTAATGTCAAAGATCTTCATGTAGAATTTGAAGATTCTAGCTCTAATAGTTTCTCAGATATACGAATTTAATTCATGTGGTGGCTTCATGCTCCCCGGATGAAAGTCCGACCTTTTTCCTCCAAAATATTCAGATGAATATTAAAATAATTTGTGCAAAATTTGAAGAATCTAGTTCTATTAGTTTCCCAGTTAAACGAAATTTTGTATTTAATTCATATGGGAGGTATCAAGTACCCCATTGGAAGTCCGCCCGTTATACTCTAAATTCAAGTTCTTCAAGTAAAATTTAAAGATTCTAGCTCTAATAGTTTCTCAGATATACGAATTTTTCTATTTTATTCATATGGGGGCTCTAAGCCCCCCAGATGAAGGTCCGCTCTTTTTTCGTTAAAAATGTTCAGATGAATATTAAAGTTATTCGTGCAAATTTTTAAGAATTTAGTTCTATTAGTTTCCAAGATAAACGAATTTTTGTTTTTAATTAATATGGGAGGTGCCGCTCCCCTCATGGGTAGTCCGCCAATTTATTACCCAAAATGTTTACATGGATGTTAAAGTTACTCGTGCAAATTTTTAATATTCTAACTATAACAGTTTCCAAGATAAACGAATTTTTGTATTTAATTTATATGGGAGGTGCCACGCCACGCCCCCTAATCCGCCCCACTTTTTGTCTTAAATAATTATATTGATAGTAAAGTTGCTCCGACAAAATTTGAATACTCTAACTATTATATTATCTCAGATATACTAATTTAATATTTTCTTAATATGGGCGTGGCACGTCGCCCACATATAATTTCAACATAAAAAGTAGCCTATAGTTCCTTCCAGACATACATGAATAAAGTGTGAAAAATTTCAGGAAAATCGATGCAGCCGTTTAGAAGTCTATAAAGCACAAACAAACAACAACATACAATCATACATACAGAAACATACACTAATAACAGAC